CTGAATGGTCAAATGTATGGTTAATGGATTTTAACATAAGTAAATGCAGAGTTATGCGCGTTGGAAGAAAAAATATTAAGTATAACTACACTATGAAGCACGACAATCAAAGTTTTCTTCTAAAAATAACAACAAAAGAACTAGACTAAGGTGTAATAGTTTCATCTAATCTGAAATGGAATCATCAGGTTCAAGTAGCTATAAGTAAAGCACAAAAAATCTTATGTTTAATAAGAAAAAGCTTTACTTATCTTATCACTGAAATGGTAAGGCAACTTTACACATCGCTGGTTAGACCGCATCTGGAATTCACAGCTCCAGTGTGGAGTCCAAGTAATAAAAACAATATCAATGACCTAGAAAAAATTCAAAGACGAGCAACAAAGCTAGCACCGGAACTAAAACATCTAAAATATACTGAAAGATTGACAAAGTTGGGTCTCACAACTCTGGAAACAAGACGTACAAGATATGATCTCATTGCGTTTTTCAAATCAACAACTGGGATTGATAAGATATTATGGTATAAAGAGCTTAATAAAGCTTCTTTCCAAAGTCTAAGAGATCATCCGACTAAATGTAAAAGAAAATTTGCAAAAACAAACCTGAGACATAAATCTTTTACAAACAGAGTGATACCTCATTGAAATGCTTTACCTGAAAAGGTGATTTTTGCAACGACAGTAAATTCTTTTAAAGCTAGACTAGATAAAGATTTGTTAACGGCTGTTAAAGTATAAATTTTAAACTGTATGCTCGGCGACAGTAGTCGTTACAGCAGTTTGTATTACTACTATTACTATTACAATCATTTACGATTTTGTTTTGTTGTGTTACACAACAAAAAACAAAAACAAAAATTTTATAAACAATTTTGTGGAATTTTCATTCGAATTTTTTATCACATTCGAAAGTTTAACTAAATGTGAAAATTAAAAGCAATGATTGGCTAAAACGTTTTAATAAAACTTTGAAATTTAAATATAATAAAAAAAGATGGGGATTGATAAATTAACTTTATTAGAATATATAAAATTAAACTTCAATAATAAACAAACCAAAAAAGATCACAGCTTTTCAGTGCATATCTTTTAATAATTAAGGCTTGAAAATGAACCCATTTTCAAGCCTGAATATTATTTCACTTCTTCCCTTTTGCCTGGGCCCTCCCGCAGTTGCACGCCCTGCAGGCTTAAAGTTTTGCTACTATTTTAAAATAGTTTTATTGTCTAAGAGAAATTTTCTTTTTAAAAACAACTTTGGAAATTTTTTCATAAAAATGGTTTGCATTTTTTAATACGGATTTGATTGCAAAAGTAATGTGAACTCATTTTTTAATGTGATCGTCAAGCTTAATCCAATATATGTATTAATTGTTCTTTATTTTAATAAATAAAGAACAATTATAAATACTTAAATAATACGTTTCGCATATAATATTACATAAAAAATAAATCGCTAACCAACACAATTTTAAATGAACAACACTGACCAATCGAGATGCAGTCGAGTGTTTTTTTGCAGTTGTATTTTTTATAATGAATATAATAGAGTATTTGCAAACATACTCTTTCAATTTCATTACATGATAAGTTTGAGACAAATAATGAAAGTTTTTCTGCAAATAGTGGACAATAAGGAACACCACAACTTGGTGATCCTTATTGTCCTCATGAAAGATCTTCATCTATTAGGCCTAGATGTATTCATAATGCGTTGTTTCAAGTTTAGGAGGTTGAGTGCTGGATCTTCTTGACTCAATGCATCTGTTTCACATGTGTTTCTATTTTTATAAATAACCAACTCAATCTGTTATTTCCTAATGAGGGTAAAGCTCTAAAACTCAGTTTAATGGTTCGGAGGCTGTTAAAGCTCAACAGCTTTAAGGTATCAGAGTACAAACAGTGCCATGTTGCATTTGGGTGGTGTCCCTGTTTATACGTTTGGTGTGCATTACCAAGGCTACATTATGAGCTCTTTGTTACGGCTTAGGGTTTATTAATGGTTATGAGGCAATGCTTGGACCATTAAATAGTGTACTGAGTTCTATCTGTGCTTTGAGTTAAGTTTATTAACAAATTCAAAAATGAGTAAAACTGTACCAAAAAATATTAAACATAAACATCATCGTCATTACCAAGTTCTCTAAATCTATTCACCAATATTCGTGGTCTTCATAATAATTTTTCTTATCTTTTGCATAGTTCACAAGACCTACTAACTCCTTGTGAGACTAATTTGAAATCAGCTGTCTCATCTTGTGATATCAGTGCTATCTGATAGCTATCTTCCCTTATTTTTGAAAGACTCCGAGAGTCATAAGCTTGACCCAGACATTTGTATTCGTAAGAATTTACCAATTTGTTGGGAAACCAGGTTTGAATCCAAAATAATTCTTTTATGTGCTTTTGTTCAGCACCACTTCATTCTATCATATTTTTCTTTTTTCTATATTGTTCTCATTTATCTCAAAACTGCACTTTTTTTGATGTTATTTATGCTCAAATTAACCTAACCCTTTTCCTTTATCCTTCATCCAATATCGTTGTTGTTGGTAAATTTAATACTCATCACACTGAATGGCATGGTTCTAGTGTCAGTAATCTCCGATGTTGACGCCCGCAACTTTTGCCTTTCTCAACCTGTAACACAAAAGTTAACTTTCCAACTCGCTTTTCAGACAATCGAAATAATAAGCCTTCTCTATGCAACTTATGTCTAATTTATGATCCTAGTGAGTGCTAAGTCTCTCCACATTCACCCTTAGGTGCTTCTGATCACTGTTTGATTTCTCTAAAAGAAATTTTATTCTTCTTTATCATCAGAATACCCTTATTATTGTAAGTTTTACATTACGTTACATTACATTACTTTAAAGGATTTTTACAACTACCTCGAGGCTAACTGGGACTTTTTCCGTGATTTTATTTGCGATGGGACTTGGCTAGAAATTATTTGTTTTTCTGCTGAAATATGTGCTTTTTATATAAATTTTCGGGTACAGGCTTTTTATATAAATTTTCGGGTACAGGCATGCAATCTTTTTTTCTCAAAACATTTCTCCATAAAACAGACGTTTGTTTACTATTATTATTTATATTATTGTTATTATTATTTATATTATTGCTAAAAACTCTTGTAAAAGTTGTCTAACGCCTAAGCCCGCTATTCTCAAGTCTTAAAATTTTGTGTTTTACCTCAAAAATTTAGCTCTTAAGACTTCTGGAGAATCTTTAACAGTGTCTATAATAAGGGCATATCCGTTATTCCTCCTCTTTTGCATGGTTTAGATTTTTTTGTATCATCTAAAAATAAAGCTAAATTGTTTGCTAAGAACTTTTCATCAACCACTTGATTTTGCTAATCCCATACTACCTGACGTAGCCAAAAATCAGGTTCATCCATTGTATGACATTGGTATTACTCCAGCTTTTACAGCTCTTCTACAGCTTATGGTCTGGACAACATACCAGTTATAGTCTTGCAGAAATATTCTTTGAAACTGTCATCTATATTTTTAAAACTATTTAACGAGCTATTTAGCATGCTAGTTTTTTCCATAAACTCTTTTCTTGCGGTATATCAGGTAACATTTTTAAGATTATGGAATCCTTCCTTACCAGTCGTAGTACAAAAGCTATCTTTAATGGACAGCACTCTATATCATTTCCTATATCTTCTGAGGTTCCTCAAGGTTTTATTCTTGGCTCCATAATTTTTTTAATTTACATTAACAATCTCCCAGAAATTCTCACATCTAAGGTGGTATTTGTTTGGTGATGATACTACCATTTATTCTAGTCTTGATAAAAAGCCAACGCTCTCTTATTGTAGAAAGGTGGTATTTGAGCTTGAAAAGGATTTTACTTCTGCTACAGTATGGGGCTCTCATTTTCAACTTTTTTCAGCTAATGTAAAAAAGTATTTTACAGTGTCTAACATGCAGTCTTACACTATTTAGAGATAAAAATAGAAACAAATAAATAGAAACTAAAAAGTGAATTTTTATTCGGTGCTCTATAATGAGACCTTTAGGTTTTCTTGAAACACCTTAATACCCAGAAGTTATTCTTCTAATAAAGTTTGTTTTACTTCAGAATTTATTGTTATATCTACACACTTCTATAAGACATAATTTGGAGTATATTTTGAATCTATAGACTGATGCTTTGGAACAAGCATCAGCCTATAGATTTCTTAGTTTTGAAGTCAACGGTTTAACCTGCACCACGAGTACTCTAACTAATAATAGTAACGGTTTTTTAATCGCGGGATTAAGACCATACAGGTAAGGCGTGAGTACCTCGGGAAAAGCTAGAGTTTGTTTTTATGATTCCCTGAGGTCTCTAAACCATAAAAGAGTTTGATGAGGATTTTAAATTTATTCTATTTAAGAACTAAAAACTTTTCTAATGTATGCTAAATAACAAATAATTCAGTGTTGTTGTGCGCACACCTACTAAATTTAAATGTTCTAAAAGTTGTTTAGCGTTTTTAAATGGTCTAAACATAGCTGTATCTCTCGTATTTTTCAAATAGCCAAACAAACTCTTTGGCGCGCAGTGTGTGTGTTTGTGTGTGTGTGTGTGTGTATGTGTGTGTGGCTCAATTCACTTAGGTTTTATGTTTTATATGGAATCAAACAGTAAATTCACTTAGGTTTTACGTGTTTTGGGTAGTTGAGCAGCTTGATTTATCAAAGTTTTACGCGTTTGGTATCGTCAAACAACTCAGTTTAGCTTTTAGATTAGGTGTTTTAATCGGTCTGACGATAATATTTATACGTTATATCTTTTGAGATTAGTATCTAATGTTTTAAATACTTAAATGGCTACAGAATTTGTTTTACAGAAGTTTTTTGTTTTTTATGTAATCTAGTTTCGATAGTTTTGATCTGTATAAACTTTTTTCTATTTTTGTTTGTTTTGTTTTTGTTTGACATTTTTCGATGAAGCTTTAAAATTGTGAATTGATGCGTAAAATTTACTCAAGTGATGCGCATGCTTAGATTGAGCAGCTTTGTTAAATTTTTAATCTGGATTTTTAATCTTAAAATGTCTTTAATTTGTGCAATATTGCAAACATTTTAAAAATGATTGACAGCTTTTAAATAAGATTTGTAATATGAATTTAATATGAATTGTTTACTGATTCTATGGGCGGTGACCCTGCTGGAATTTAAAGGTAATACTGGTTTCTGGTCTTTTAGTTTCAAAGAAATATTTTAGTAATCTGATGGAGTTACTTTTGTTTTTTTTATATATTTCTGACTAGCATGAATATTGTCAAAAAATTTTCCTAGAATTTAAAAATCTAATAATAGTACAATTTTGAAAATACTGAAACATCCAAAATGAAAACCAAAAATATTATTAAAGGACCAACATAAAAAAATAATAATGTAAAAAAACATAAAAAGGACCAACATAAAAAAATAATAATGTAAAAAAGCATAAAAAGGACCAACATAAAAAAATAATAATGTAAAAAAGCATAAAAAGGAACAAATTAAAAAAAAAAAAAAAAGTAAAAAAGCATAAAAAGAACCAACATAAAAAACGTTTTAGAATGCTTATAAGTATTATAAAGTGATTTTGAATAACAGAAACTAATAAATCAAGATCTTGTTTTATACAAGACCGTAGATACTAACATACTTTGTGGCATAATCTTTAAATCTGTCAGTTAATTCCCATGTATTTGCGCTATTATTTTAATTAACATCATTCCATTGCACTATTACTTCTTATCAATTAATAGCAAATCACTAAAGTGGAGATGTTTTTGATGCTGATTCAATAAATAAAAAGTAAAAACAACTAATTGTTTATCTACCATGAGTGATATTTTAAGCTTTTTACAAGAGCATTTCCGCTTTATACTACTATAGTACTCAGAGCCAACGACACAGGGGGGCCCACTTTTATTTCTAAGAGACTTTTTTTTTTTTTTTTCTGATACTAGAGCAAAAAACTTTCTTCTGCTCATAAGAGTCTTGAAGTAGAGGCTGCTGTTCTATTTTTAGGAACCACGGGACATATGAAGAAGCTGGCATAGTTATACTTTTCTGCTTCGTCTATCGTTAATATCTTAACATATATAGTATCAACATTGAATCTTGCTTTATGCATTGCACAAGGCTGCGGGAATCTAAAATTTTTATTTATCCGCTAAGGAAGAAAATACTTAGCTTGAATAAGTTGCTTTTCTATAACCGCTAATCGAAAATAGATGCACTATCAAGCCTATTTATCTCATATTTGTTGCATGTAAACCGTTGGTAGGTTGCAAGCAGAGTTGAGAGTGAACAGAACAGACTTGAGAGTGAGCAAAAGAGATTTTAGTAATAGATTTTAGAAGTAATTTTTGACAAATTTTTCTGTTGACAATAAATTCAATAAAAGATAATTTTAAAAAAAAAATCTTTAAAAGGTTTCTTTTGCCGCTAAAAAGGTTTAAAAGTGTCAAGTTAATGTATTTTAGTTTTTCACCGCCAAATATTACTATTATTAATTTATATATTTGTAAAATATTATTAAAATTAATTGATTTATTGTTTAGAAGTAAATATTACTCCTGTTATATAATCCAAAATTTGTACATTTTTTTAACTCTGAGGCTCTGTTTAATCATTGTGGTAGTATAGCTAACCATTCTTTTTTTTAATATTAAATAAAATATATATTTATAAGGATTATCATTTCAATAATAATTTATTTCTTTTATAACTCTGACATTGTACTCCTTTTATAACTTTGACAAGAATTTACTTAAGTAATAACAACAGTAAAATTAAAAATGTACTTAATTTGTAAATTTTTGAGCTCTGCTGTACTTATATTTTTTGTGCATAGAGAATCAAGCAGTTCAACATCATAAAAAGAAATCTGGAACTAAATCTGCGTCAAAAAATGTTGAGAGAAAAGGGACAATTCATATTGCAGGTCTTAAATGTTTACATTGAAAATTTATTTAAAATTGTTGAAATTTAAAACTTTACTAGTTACTGAACATAAGTTATGGTTGTTGTCAATGATACTTTTTTGATACATATTATAATACTCTCTCTCTCTCTCTCTCTCTCTCTCTCTCTCTCTCTCTCTCTCTCTCCATATATATATATATATATATATATATATATATATATATATATATATATATATATATATATATATATATATATATATATATATATATATATATATATATATATATATATATATGTATATATATATATAAATATATATATATATATATATATATATATATATATATATAAATATATATTTATATATATATATATATATATATATATATATATATATATATATGTATATATATACATATATTTATACATATATATGTATATAAATATATATATATATTTTCGCGTCACGGTAAGGAAGGAAACGTGAACTTCCTGGTTAAATGCACATCCGCGGTGCTCTGTGACAAATTAGGTCTTTAGGGGCACCGTAATTACAATATATATATATATATGTATATATATATATATATATATATATATATAACTATAAATATATAAATATATATATGTATATAAATATATATATATATATATATATATATATATATATATATATACATATATATATATATATACATATATATATATATATATATATATATATATATATATATATATATATATATATATATATATATATATATATATATATATATATATATATATATATATATATATATATATATATATATATATATATATATATATATATATATATATAACTGATTGTGAGGTTTTTGAAATAACTTTTATTAATAATTTAAGGACCATGGCATTCCGAAAGCGCGTTAGATCGAAACATTGATGCAGCTGAAGATTCTTATGTTAAGAAAATAATATCAAGCAACGAAGGTCTTAATTTTAACAAAGACATGGCTGAAGCTGGTGGTATTTTATCTAATTTTTTAATTAGATCTTATTTATTGAAAGATGTCTAAAAAAATAGTATGATATTTATAATACAAGTAATCTCACTGCGATAATAATTTGAAACTTTTATTTAGATTATTGTTATCTTAGAAAAAGTTTTTTTGAGGTTTTATACACCTTTAAAATAGGCGGTCTATAAAAATTATAGTCTAGGGAAAGTTTGCGTAACTAAGGCCTCCTTGTATATAGGGCCACCCAACTATATTTAAAAACTTTAAAGTTCTAAGTAATGCCTTTCTATAAGTTTTTGTGTATTTCATTGTTTGTTACTTAAATACTAAATGAAAAATAAAAACTTGCTTATTGAACATTGTTCAATAATCAAGTTTCCTCTCAATCGGGGTTCGTTAATAGATGTCATTTTTCATGATGTTATCATTTCTTGTACCTAAGGTCATTTCGTTTGATTCTACCTAGGCCGATATGTGCTTAAAGAATTTGATTGATAACGAGGTAGATTGTTGAATTTTGATTGTTACATAATTTTTTGTCGTTCGTGGTTGTTTTGGGACTACCATTTTACGCATAGACTTATTTGTCAATTTTGCTCACAACTATTAGTCAGTTTTGTTATTTATTTAAATGTTGCAATTAAGTAACATTATATAAAGTGTCTTTGTAGTCAATTTATTATGGAGTTGATCCTAGTTTTCAGAGAGCGGTCCGAGTATAATGGCTAACGGTTATTTATAATTTAAGCCAATATACTTATATTAATAGAAAGTAATTAGTACTGAGATAAAATCATATCAGTTTCACCATTTTTGGACAAGTGTGGGACCTTAAATTCGGGCTTTGAAAAAATCCGGCCCTATGTACACGAACTTCCCCAATATACTTTCTACATACTTTTGTAAAAAGTGTTCTTTTTGAAAATCATACTTTCTTCTATAAAATAGGTTATAAAATATAGTGAATTAGTAAATATAACAATTTATTACTAAAAATGAAATCCCGTAAAAGAGATATGTAAAATGGTCATGGCATTGTCTAGGTCTCTTGCCTTATCATACATATATATTTTTAAATCTATGCAATTATTTGGTTTTAATAAAATTAAATCTAAATCTCACAAGGGTTATTCGATTTCCCTAAAAACGTTTATTTCCCATAACTATAATCTTTTTAAATCGCTTTTAAAAGTGAAATTTTTAATGTACTATGTGAAAACAATTTTGCGTAAAATTTCTTCATTGCATTTCAAAAACTGCTTGAGTTATTTTAAAACTTTGGTAAAAAAGAAAGTGGAGTTAAAATAGACTTCATAAAACTTAAAAAGTATCTTCTTAAAAAACACAAAAATTTAATTTTACATACTTATCAATTGATTTCTTTACTTGTCTGGAACAATGTGAAGAAATCAATTAAAACATAAAAGAAGTATATAAAATGCAGTTAAAAAGATTTTTCACAGCATTTTTTGCAAGTATTAAAATAAGTTTAAAAAAAAATTAGATTTTTTTCACGCAAATATTTATTATACCACTGTTACTTATTTTGGACGCCAATCTAACTAAAGTTTGTCAGTTATTATATAGCCAAATAAAAAAGAAATGCGAAATCAAGTTAAGTGTCATGATGATAACTAGAAAATAGTTTACATACTGTGTATAAAAAAATGGAAAAGATATCTTACAGCAACTCAAGTTGAAAAGGTTTAGAAACAATAAGAAAGAATTGATCAAATCTATCAAATAAATCATTTTGTGAGCTTTGATGCAAGAGTTACTCAAGGTGGAAAAAAATGTCAGTTTAGAATCGTCAAAAAAGAAACATTGTAAATTAATAATAGTCAAGAGCAAAACAAATAAAAAAAATTAAGCAGCATACAATAAGGTTGTTGAACAGCTAACAATAGAAAAGAACTTTAGCTTTATTTATGAGCAAGGAGTTTTAAGCCGATGGAAACTTCCCTATCCAGCGAGAGTGAGCTAGACAGCAGCATTGATATTGTGAATGATATTGAGGTTTTTAAAGCTCTATGGGGCAAGAATGAAGTTCTTAGCAACTTTTTTTCCAAATCCAATTTTTTTTTATTTTTTTTTTTAACTTTTTATTTATTTTAAAGTACAAAGACAAATAAGCATGTCTCTCACCAATCGAACCATTAGAAAACAGATTGTGTGCTGCTCCCATTCACAATATAATTAAAAATACTGAATAAAGTTACAAAAGAATTAAAATACGTGTATCTTTAATCTTATAAATTTTTAATAAGGTTGTATAATCATTTTAGGATTCAACTTTTATTTTTTAGGACTTTTTGCGCAAAAATCTACAATTTTTAGCGGTTGATTGATTTAGCTTGTTTTTTTGCCTAAATTTAAAGTATTTGGTACAAGGTATTATAATGGACCTAGGAATTTTTTCCACGCATCACATAGACATGATTAGTTATAAAATGTGCCATATACATGTTTCTAGAACAATCAAGTCTTTTACGTTATCCATAAGTCTGACATTTTGTAAACATCTAATGCACTGATTTTGAAAGTCATTTACCAAAGGAGGTGGACCTCAATTTTGGCGTTGTTAATCATATGTTGTAAATTACACGTTGTAAATTAAATGCACAAAAATTACTGGAAGCATTTATTTTTTTTCAGCGTTCACATTCAGGAAGAAACGTATAATGAGTTCCATTTTCTGTAAATTAATTTCACAGCTATGTGTACACTATAAGAGTATTTTCCAGCAAATTGCAGAACTAGATTTAAACTTTCAAATTTTTGGTATTAATAAGAAATTTGGAAAGTTTCAGCCTGTTGTTACTTTTTACTTTGGCTTAACACTCGAGAAGTAGTTTGCAGAAAAAGTTTTAAGATCAAAAAACTTTTAAAAATTATTAAAAAAAAAAATGAACATTGCTAAAGCATCACCCTAGAATCACTACATCATCTTTTCAGTAATCGTGGTAAACATTTAAATGAGGTATTGGTCAATCAAAGTATCTTCAAGAGCTTCCAAAGTATCCCCAAGAGCTTATTTTTGACTTCAATAACAAAAATTTGTAAAAAAGTTATTAGTGTTTGTTATAATTAAATTTATTTATTTAAACTTAATGAAAAAAATTTTGTTTTGTGAGTAAGTTATGCCTTAATTAAAAAATGCAAATTTTTTGGTTGTATTTTCGCCAGTATGTCAAAATAATAAAAAATAAAATAAAAATTTGATTTTTTGTCGGATGTAATAGATTTCAACATTTTTTTTTATTATCTGAAATATTTGTATTTTCATGCTGTATAAGTGGCTTTTTTGTGGCTATTTTATATATAGGTGGCTTTTATGTGGCTATTTATATATAGGTGGTTTTTTTGGGTCATGACCAAGGTCCGTTCTTATTATCCAAGATCCTCGCATAATAAGTATCAGTAATATTTATGGTTCCACTTATTTTTTTATTTTATGTTTAAGCAATTATATTTATAATTATATTGTATTATTGTAGCTATCATTGAGATAAAAACTTTAACCAAGTACCTATAGTATTACAAGAATATTTATGATTAAATGTTATAGTTAAATATGATTAATCCATAAATTTAAAAACTTTATATTTTGTAGTATTTAATGTTTCAAAAGTATAGATTTTATATTTTCAGAGGAATTTGAATTGAACGGCATAGATGACTTTTATGACAAAACAGCCAGCATCACCTACGAAATAAATGGTCATGAAATACCAGTACATTTAAAACCTAAACTCACCCCACAGACAAAGCCAATGTTTCCGGAATATGTGAAAGAGTTACCTAGTATATCTGGATCATCAAGACATAGTTTTCAACTCGGAGATGAACCAAATCATCCTGAAAATTTGTATTCAAATTTTTCTCCGAAAGAATTGCCAGAGTACAATGTAAAAGACTCACCAAGTTTTAATGGTAATCCTAATAAAAATATTTTCAACAGTAAAAATAATGTTAATCGTATAAATGGTTTGAGAGCTAATTATAAACATATTTCTGAATTTAAATTACCCTGGAAATACGCAGACTCGTTTGCAACAGGTCAAAAAATTGCTATGTTTTCGAACTCTAATCTTGTTGAAAAACTTCGTAAAAAACCCAACGTTGATGAAAACGACCACCATATTGATTCAAAGGAAGAAAATCTAGCAAACGAGTTGAATAATTTAAGTTTATATGATCATAAAGAAAATGAAAACATGGTTGAATCATTTTTGAAAAGTTTACACGATAAACCACAAAACACACTCAATAATAATAAAATTATAAATTTGAATGACGATGAAAATGAAACTTATACAAATATGGAAAATCGTTTAAAAGATAAAAAACCTAACAATAGCTCAGAGACACATGAGCCATCTAAAGTTCAAACAGCTTTTTCCAATATTAACCAGGAAAATGACGCTTCTTTTCTTCGCAAGCTTGAGAATCTTCATACAAATGTAGTAAATGTAAATGGAAACGCTGAAACATTGAATCAATCGTCTAGAGTTGACACAATGCACAACGATACTAGAACATCTGCAGAAAAATCAAAATCCAAGGAAAGAATACTTTTTTTATTAAGCGATTTAACTGCAAAACTTAAGGGTATAGAGGATGTTGTTAGTGGGCAAATAAATAAAAGCAATTACCTAGATACAGTAAACAGTACAAATTTAAAAATTTCTAATGAAAGTTATCAGCAGGCAATAACTGACCAGTTATACATTAAAAATTTAGATGAAATTGGTTCTGCTAATTCTCCAAAAATAGATGCTTTAAGCTTTGAACCAACATATGTTAAACACGATAAAGAAAACCTATTAAATAACGATTTAAAAAACGATAAATTGTCGATGTTTGTAAAACTTGGCTCTGATGATTTCAGGGAAAGTATGGATACTGAAAATCAGTTATCACAATTTGGTTTGGATGAAGAAGTTCAGAGAGGAGTGGGTGAAAAAATTAATCAATTTGCTAATCAAATAAATGAGAAAATAAGAAATGATGTTGCATCAACTGCAGATCTTGACAACGGCATCGGAAACAAAAATGAATACATTTACGGGATTGGGGGTTCAAACGAAGAAAAAAAAGGCACTAAGGATGATATTTTTTTTAGTAGTGCAGAAAATTTATACAGTATTAAAGCATTATCTAATAACGAGGAGCCACATGCTGAAAAAGCAGAACTTAAAAATAGTTTTTTTAATGATAAAAACACTTATGAGTCGAGAAACACAGGTGAGTCGAGAAACACTAATGAGCCGAGAAACACTGATGACTCAAGAAACACTGATGAGTCGAGAGTTACAGATGAGTCAAGAAATGAAGTTAAAAGATTGAATTTAAGTCCTTCTGGTGACTCTTCAAAAATAACATTTTCTAAAGACAATTCAGATTCATCATTAAGAAGTAATAAATTTATTAATTTTAAAGAACAAAGAAAGTCTTTCTTTAGCGAAGATAAAAAACAAAATCAAAAAATGATCATCGAAAATGTAGCCCAAAACTCATCAGATTTATCAAAAAACGATTTTCAAAAAGTTAATAAAATAAAAAATTTTTCATCAATTGAAAAAAATATCTCAAAAATTGAAAATATATCAAATGCAAGGATTATTAATTCAACTAAAAGTGATGGGGTTGCTGGAGGAGTTCGCTCATTTACACCGTTGCCATTGTCAGGTGTTTTTTAAATTTTAAACATATTTTAAAATTACTTTTATTTTTACTTTATACATATTTATGATAAGTTTTAATTTGATCTTTAATTTCTTTATATAGGTTTTAATATCTTTTTATGAACTTTGATATTTGTATGTAGTTTTTGATATATGCACCTATACAATTCATGTACCCTATATAAAACTAATTTTTCAATCAATGTTAAGAGGTTTTAATTTCAATTCAAAAGTAAACTTTTCTAATCTGCATATATATATATATATATATATATATATATATATATATATATATATATATATATATATATATATATATATATATATATATATATATATATATATATATATATATATATATATATATATATATATATATATATATATATATATATATATATATATATATATATACATATATATATATATAAACATTTTATTTAGAAATACTGTACCCCAACTACGATAAAGTGAAAGCGTCTGCTCTTTTAGAAACAGCAGTTCTAAGAAAAAAGTTTCACGGGACCACTTTAGAATGGTCAGATACTCTCTCAGATAAAGCCCAAATACAAGCTGATCTATTGGGTAATAAAATTGACTTTGATATAAACAAAGTTGATGAATATAGATTACCTGGACAAAATATAGCCTTCGTAAGATTAGATTCGCAAGATATTGGAAAAGATGCTATAGACAGTTGGGCAAGTGAAGCTAAAGATTACGACTTTAAAAGTCCGTTAGTTACAAAAAAAAATACTGATTTTGTGCAACTTATGTGGAAATCAAACAAAAAATTCGGAATGGGAGTTTCAAAGTCAAAAGCTGGTGATGGCTGGATTGTTACATCATTTTACGACAGCCCATTTGCTGACCGATACAACGATTTAAGAAATAACATTGAATCTGATGTTCCAATAGATGATCCTTATAGCGATATAACTGGTTAAATATCTTGAAAAGAACAAACATCAATTGTTTATTTGAAGAAAAGTTAAACAACTAAAAAATATTAACTTCTAATGCCCTTCACAAACAAAAGGATCTAAAATATTGTTATTTGTTAATAAAAAGTAGGAAGTGGCAGAGAAGAAGTTAAAAAATTACTTCTTAATGGTTAAAAAATTACTTCTTATGTCCTTAAATTCTTTCAATTGAGTTGAAAAATTATTTCAGACATGAATTTAAAAAATTGACAATACTGACTTTAAAATCCTAACATAAGTGCAATCTGATATTTGTTTCAGGCTAATTGAACCATATTTTTTTATTTCATATATTTTTACAACTGCATATTGTTTACAAGTTTTAATAATATATAAACTATAGTTATATTTATATCTAATTAAATTTTAATATCACAAAAAATACATTAATACTTTTAAAATACATTTGAAAAACTAAAATTTTAAATATTTTCACTATTTATGTTATGGAAAAAATAAAACAAAGGTAGTTTTGGTTATGTAGCCACAAGCGACTAGCAGAAAACTGTAAATTTTTAAAATTGAAGAAAATATCCCTAATTTTTTAGGTAAATCTCTTGCGCACACTGAATCTAATTTTTCGAAAATAATCACAGAACCTTATTAATTGCTATATATTATTTACTATGACTAGATATTATTCACTATCACTATATATTATTCAATATCACTATATATTATTTAATATCAATGAATATAATCAATATAATCTTATTTCCAGACTGAATATAATACATTTCCAGGTTGTTCAAAAGGTTGCGCCAAAGGGCCAAGATAGTCATACGATGGTTATCGCTGTGTGTCAAGCCAAATTACTTAACATTTATATGCTTTATAAGATTTTATTCTTGTGGAGCGACAAAAACTATAGTATTTGTTTTTAAATTCGTTTATAAAAAAAAAATATTCTTTTTGAAAACGATTTCACAGATTCAATAGGGAAGTTAAATAAAAACATTTTTCTCCGATGTTTATTTTTACTTATATATTCCAGTAAAAGTAAATAGTAACATAATTGTTTTTAAAAGAAATGGTTTTTTTGAATTATGAACTTTAAACTTTTTTTTTTAATTATATTTTAAAAGCTGAAGAACTCAACTAATTTCACGAAGTAAGGCCGAACTTGGCGAATTTTCGCCAAGTACCACAAAATGTTTGAACCATTTATTAAATTATAAAATTCTTTTAGGGAAGAATCTAATTTAAATCTAAGCGAGATAAGGAATGGTTTTAACAGTCTTAAAAGTAATAAAAGTGCGGGGATTGACAAAATTAGTGTGAATGTTGTTAAGTCAGTCTTCGATATCATTGAACCATCATTATGTGACGTCATTATTTGATATTTTTGATCTTTCATTAAAACTATGTGTTGTGCCAAAAAAACATAAAGTTGCCATAATCATTCCAATTTTTAAATCTAGTGACGAAACTAATATTAACAACTACAGATGTATTTCCGTTTTACCCTGCTTCTCAAAATTATTGGAACAAATTATGTGCAACAGACTTTACAACTATTTGATGTTTAACAGTTTGCTGTACAGTAAACAATTTGGATTTTAAAAAGATAATTCAAATTACCATGCTGTAATCGAAATAATTAATCATGTATCGGATGCATTCAATAATGGCTATTTTACTCTAGGAGTTTTTATTGATCTGTCAAAAGCCTTTAGCACTGTTAACCATAATATACTTATAAAAAACTAGAACTCTATAAAGTAAAAGATAAAAATTTGCGTTTGGTTTAGACTACCTAGTGAAGAGGTCACCATGTACTATTTATAAAAAAAAAGAAAAAGAAATACATATTACATATGGTGTGAAGCAAAAACATGCATCCAGGATTATACTTGGTGCACACAGAACCTTTCATTGCAAACCTCTTTTAAGGAAGCTTGGTGCCATAAGTCTATATTACCTCATATACACCAAGTTCTACAATTCATGTTTAAAACTAAACATGGACTCTCTACAATTGTATTTAAGTCTTACTTTAGTGAAATATTCCACAAGTATCTTACTAAATTTTCAATTAATAACTTTATTGTTTTAAAAGCTAATTCAAAACTAGGTTCTTACAAAATCCAATACCGCGGACCGTTTCTATGGAAACATTTTTCAAAATTTATTTCAAAAAATAATAATGTTCAAAACATCTCTTTAGAATAAAATAGTTATTGACACTTCTTCTCTTTTGTTGCAATTTTAATCTAATTTAATTTTTTGTTGAAAAGCTTTAATACTTTTAAATTATTGTTGAAAAGCTTTAATAATTTTAAATCTTTGATATTATGTGTTATATTTCAACACTAATATTTATATCATATTATTAGTTATATTGTAACTAATGTGTTTAAAATTCTTATTATGTACATAGCTACTCTTAATTTTTGTATATTAACTGACGATTTTTTAATTTAAACTTTATGATGGGACTTGATGATAAGAAAATTTATGTCTTCTACTTACTTCAGCTCTCTTATTTATTAACACAATTTGTTTCATTGTAAATTTAAAAATAAAAATGCACTATACACACGGATATGAGGATTCATTAATTACTTGTTAAACATCTCCTTTTGCTATCATGCATGTATTATGATTTGCATATTTTATTTTTCTAGCTCCTGTAGGCTAGCTGTATTTAAATCTGTTAGATCAATTTATGATTGAGTTAAAATTGCACCTGTAACTTTGTGCAACTTGGAGATCACTGATCGTAGCCTAAGAGTTAAATTACCAGCAAAAATATCTACGGAAACTCTTGCTGCAAAATCTTATTCTAATGTTAAAAAGGTTCTCTTTTAAATTATTCACCAGGTTTCTTTAACCTAATCACCAGGTTCTTTTAAGCTAATTACCACGATCAAAATCAAAATCGCTCAAGGATTCCATATCCTCCTGACAATGTTGGACACAAATGACAGTCGAGTTCATTTTGAAGCTGTATCTGTCGAGAGAGCATTGGATATCCTAGTTAATAATAAACTCAAATGGTCGGAGTTTGCTTTAGGATTAGCCAAGCTAATTTATTTGCAAATTTATTTCAAACATATGATTTATTGGAAGGCTTAAGAACAAATCAAATTCAGAATTTAACTCCTTTTTTCCAAAATATAACCATTTAAGATATGTTTTTAAAGCTATTACAACTTAAAGTGATAATTTCATTTGTGTACACTTATTGTTCACTTAAGTAATCAGAAAATTAAAACGGTTAATTTTGATCGCTCGGCCTGGTTTTAAATAAAAACATTAAAATTTGAACCACTTTTCTAGACCAAGAGTGTATAAAAATTCATAATACTTTAGAAGAACGTGTGCTTATTGAGATTTATAACGCTATGAAACTCGTGGAAAACAATTCTAGAAATCGGGTAAATTACTGGTTTTACTGAACCTAACGTATTCACCAAAAAAAAGCTACTGCCTACTTTTATAAGGACAAGAAACAAGAAACTTGAAACTTTTAACGAATAAAAACTTAGTACAGGGCAGTAAAAAAACTTGACAACCGATTTTTGTCACATTTACGGTTGGACTTTTAATAGCTTTGTCTTTTTTACATAACAACCCAAACACAATTTTACGTATTTAATACGTATGTATTTATATATTTTTTTTGTATATTTAATGGTACTTTTCATTAATGAACGCATACAACGTTTTGCATCATGCTTTAAAGTTACCAATCTCAAACACTTATAAAAGATAAGAAATTGGTCTAAAATAAAAAAAGTGAAAGTTTTCAAAAAAGAAAGTAAAATTTTTTTTTTTTGAAATAACCCAGTGAGCACAGGACGTTTTTAAAACGTTTAAAACACTTATAAAAACGAATATTAACGTTTTTTAAACGTTTTAAAAACAATCTATGCTTACTGGGAATGCATAATGAGTATATATTCATTTAAAGGTTCTGTTTCCTAAAGGTTTCCATAAATATTAAAGCATAGATAAGACAGGGACGAATTACACTTGGTTTTACTCTAATCTCCAGAACCTTTTTTCAACAGAAAGTCCAGACCTTATATTATTAGTCCAGACCTTACATTATTAGTCCAGACCTTACATTATTAGTCGAGACCTTACATTATTATGAAAAAACTGATGGAAAAGAGCAAATTATTAGTAATTTGAATCTTTTTATTAATAAATTTTTTTCATAAGACCCAGAGACGGACACAAAACTTTTTAATGTTTTAAAAGTCGTGAATACTCCAAATTTAATTTTGTTAATGCTTATGTCAAAAAAGAATATTTTCCAAGATACTCTCGAGTTCCTAATGCACGTCCCCCTCCCCCGTTTATTAATTTTTGGATATTTTTCCCACCCACCCTAAGCTTATTAAGACCCCCCCGTTTAATAATTTTTACTTGTTATCAACAAAAAAATTATATATCTCAAAAGTAAAAAAAAATTTCAGTGAAAATCGGCCTTAAAAATTTGAAAATAAATGTTCAGTCACCGATAAAAACAAAAACTTTCAGTGTAAACAGGTTTTACAAATTGTCGACCTATTTTGCTAAAAATGAACTTTTAGTTTATTTCTCACCAAAGCTTTGGTTTTAATTATAGGATTTAACATGCTGAATATAAGTTTTATACTTTGCAAAGTATAAAACTTATATCAGCATATTAAATCGTATTGAAATTATGATAAAACAGCCTAACCCTACCCTAACAGCTGTTAAAAAATGCGCTTTTGACCGCAATTCAAATGCGCATTTGACTTGAACATGCATAAATAGGTTTAAACATGCTTTGTAAAAAATATCGGTTTGGAATTATAAATTAAAATTTTTTACAAAAATATTTATATTGTAACATGGCGTCAGATCGGAAATTTTCAAGAACTGACCGAGATAAATACAGTTTGGAAGAAAAAAATGCTTTAGGTAAACTTTGTAAAAGTTACAAAAAAGAGTACGATTTATCGATTGCTGAAAACTTTCAAAAAGTCAACTCTAGTGAAAAAAGAAACAAACACGTTAAAACATTGCCACGCAAAGGATACCTCGCAAGAGCTGTAAGAGAGTTTTATTCGGACCTTAAAGACATTAAGCATGATAATCCAACCTTAACAAAACCCCTAAAACTTGGAAAAAGATGTCTAAACCAAGTTGAGGCAGATGAAGATGTTGTAACTGCTCCTCCAAGCAAATCAAGGTATCGTCAAGCAGGAGGAGGACGAAAATTAACCATCCCAGACGTCAGACAACTTTTATTCGAGTGGTTTGTAGACATACGTGGAACCCTTAAAGCACGTTTACCCAGGAAAATGTTTACAGCATAATGCAAACTTTTTTATGAACAGTCGCTTGCCCAACAACCAGAAGAGGTGCCAGTGAACAAGAAAATTATTTTCTCAAACCGTTGGTTAAATAACTGGATGAGTGAGCATGGTGTCAGTCTGCGCTAGTGCTTCCAATACCGGTAGTACCGGTACCGGAATACCGGTATTACCGGACATTTTTAAGTACCGAAATACCGGTATTGGTTTGGCTCAATACCGGTATTAAAAACATATGTAGAGGGCTTATGAT